TCTCTCTCTCTGTCTCTGTCTCTGTCCTCTGTCTCGGCGCGCCGAGCTCTCTCTCTCTCTCTCTCTCTCTCTCCCTCTCCTCTCTCTCTCTCTCTCTCTCCTCTCTCTCTCTCTCTCTCCGCTCTCTCGTCTCTCTCTCTCCCTCTCTCTCTGTCTGTCTGTCTCTCAACTTCTCATTCTCTCCTCTCTCTTCTCCTCTCTCTCTCTCTCTCTCTCTCCTCTCTCTCCTCTCTCCTCACTCTCTCTCTCTCTCTCTCTCTCCTCACCTCTCTCCTTCCCTTCTCACTCCCCCCCCTCTCTCTCTTCCTTCTACCTTTCCTTTCTCTCTCTCCTCCTTCCCCCTTTCCTCTTCTCACTCTCCCCCCTCTCTCTCTCCTTCTACCTTTCTTCTCTCGCTCTCCTCATCTCTCTCTTCTCCTCTCTCTCTCTACTCTCTCTGTGCTCTCTCTCTCTCTCTCTCTCCTCTCTCTCTCTCTAGCCAAAAAGAATGGTTGGAACTCCGCAGGAATCAGGGATCAGATGACAATGGTACTGGTTGGGAGGAATGGATGGAGGAGCAGTGGAGGAGGATGGAGCTACAATGGGAGAGAAAATTAGGAGAGCTTTCCGAAAAAAAATGGAGAAAACAGCTCTCTGGAAAATTGGGAAAAGGGGTTGGAGAAGGAGACGTGGAATTGGGAGGAACAAGTCGAAACTGCAGTAGCCAGGGTAAGGGTCCTAGAATTTGAGGTAAACAGGCTGAAGCAAGTCTCAGGGGCAGTGACCAGAGAAGAGAGCATATGAAGCTGAGAGGCTGAACAGGAAAGAAGGAGATATGAATTATGCTAAGGTCATATCAGCTTGCAAAGAAGGGCCAGGGAGTGAAAGGGAAGAGCAGCTGCGTGCAGATGGAGAGGGAGATAGGTCGAATGCTGAGGCATAACCATGCTACCAAGAGCCACTGGAAAAATTAATGGAGAAAATGACCACATACAGACAGGAACAAGAGTCACAGAGGGAGAGGCAATGGGAGGAGGAAAGGGCAAAATCAGTGTTCATCCATTGGCTTCAGGAGAGAGAGGAAAGGACACACACTGAAAGACGGCAGGAAGTAAGAAGATTGAGAAAATCATCACGGAAATAGGGGAAGAAGACATGGAAGAGATTGTAAATTTTCAAAGAATAGGGGGGGTACTTGAAGGGGAGAAACCGACCGATCAAGCTGATTCTCAGGACAGAAACAGTGCGGAACAGGATCCTCCAAGAGAAACCACGGTTGAAAAACTCGGAAGAGTACAAGAAGGTGTTCTAGACAGAGACAGAACACAGAGTGGCAGCAGCTGAGGGAGAGGACAAAAAAGCGAAAGGAGCTAGGAAAGGAGACAAGGATGTAACCAGCAGAGGTCACTCAGAGCAGAACAGAGCAGCAAGGGCAAGCACACACACAACTATCCTCAGAACCCCGCAACCTATCACACCATCCCAACACACACCACAATCCATACCCACAGCTTCCACCAAACCCCCAACCATAGAATCCCACAGCATGCTACCAGGTCTCCCACACCCACAGGCCCCCCAAACCACAGTGTTGGAAAGGAAACTGAAGGTATGGTACACAAACGCTGATGGAATAACAAACAAGTGGGAGGAGTGGCACAAAAGAATCAAAGAGGCATCACCGGACATCATAGCACTCACAGAAACCAAGCTTACAGGTATGATAACAGATGCCATCTTTCCAACGGGATACCAGATCCTGAGGAAAGACAGAAGGAACAGAGGGGGTGGAGGAGTGGCACTGCTGATCAAACATCGATGGAACTTTGATGAGCTGGAGAGAGGAGACAGCAGAGAAGAAAGTGATTACATAGCGGGAACGCTTCACTCTGGAGGTCACAAGGTGGTAATTGCAGTGATGTATAACCCACCACAGAACAGCAGGAGGCCAGGGAAAGAGTATGACGAGAGCAATAGAGCGATGGTTGACACACTGGCTCCAGTGGCCAGAAAAGCTCATGCATGCAGTGCAAAGCTCCTGATCATGGGCAACTTTAACCACAAGGAGACCGACTGGGAGAACTTGGAGTCACATAGGGGCCAAGATACATGGGGGGTTAAGATGATGGAGGTGGTACTGGAAAACTTCATGTACCAACATGTAAGGGACACTACAAGAGAGAGAGGAGAGGATGAACCAGCAAGACTGGACTTAGTATTCACCTTGAGTAGTGAAGATATTGAGGACATCACATACGAAAGACCCATTGAGGCCAGCGATCATGTGGTTTTGAGCTTCGAATACACAGTAGAGCTACAAGTGGAGGGGGAAGCAGGAAGGCCAGGACAAATGAAACCAAACTACAGGAGAGGGGACTACACGGGAATGAGGAACTTCCTGAAAGAGGTTCAGTGGGACAGAGAACTGGCAGGGAAACCAGTTAATGAGATGATGGAATATGTAGCAACAATGTGCAAGGAGGCTGAGGAGAGGGTTTTTACCCAAGGGAAACAGGGAATAATGAAAAAGCCAGGATGAGCCCATGGTTCACCCAAAGGTGCAAGGAGGCAAAAACCAAGTGTCCTAGAGAATGGAAGAAATATAAAGGCAAAGGACCCAGGAGAATAAGGAGAGCAGTCCTAGAGCCAGAAACGAATATGCACAGGTAAGATGGGAGGCCCAACGACAATATGAAAACGACATAGCAGCGAAAGCCAAATCTGACCCAAAGCTATTATACAGCCACATCAGGAGGAAAACAACAGTCAAGGACCAAGTAATCAGGCTAAGGAAGGAAGGAGGAGAGACAACAAGAAATGACCGTGAAGTATGTGAGGAACTCAACAAGAGATTCAAAGAAGTGTTCACAGAGGAGACAGAAGGGGCTCCAGAAAGACGGAGAGGTGGAGCACAATACCAGGTGTTGGACACAGTACACACAACCGAGGAAGAAGTGAAGAGGCTTTTGAGCGAGCTAGATACCTCAAAGGCAATGGGGCCAGATAACATCTCTCCATGGGTCCTAAGAGAGGGAGCAGAGGTGCTATGTGTACCCCTAACAACAATATTCAATACATCTTTCGAAACAGGGAGATTGCCTAAGGCATGGAAGACAGCAAATGTAGTCCCGATCTTTAAAAAAGGAGACAGACATGAAGCACTAAACTACAGACCATTGCCACTGACATGTATAGTATGCAAAGTCATGGAGAAGATAGTCAGGAGAAGAGTGGTGGAACACCTAGAAAGGAATGATCTCATCAACAGCAGCCAAAATGATTTCTGGGACGGGAAATCCTGTGTCACAAACCTACTGGAGTTCTATGACAATGTGACAGCAGTAAAACAAGAGAGAGAGGGGTGGGTGGATTGCATTTTCTTGGACTGCAAGAAGGCGTTTGACACAGTACCACACAAGAGATTAGTGCAAAAACTGGAGGACCAAGCAGGGATAACAGGGAAGGCACTACAATGGATCAGGAATACTTGTCAGGAAGACAGCAGCGAGTAATGGTACGTGGCGAGGTTTCAGAGTGGGCACCTGTGACCAGCGGGGTCCCACAGGGGTCAGTCCTAGGACCAGTGCTGTTTCTGGTATTTGTGAACGACATGACGGAAGGAATAAACTCCGAGGTGTCCCTGTTTGCAGATGACGTGAAGTTGATGAGAAGAATTCATTCGATCGAAGGCCAGGCAGAACTACAAAGGGATCTGGACAAGCTGCAGACCTGGCCCAGCATTTGGCTCCTGGAGTTCTATCCCACCAAGTGCAAAGTCATGAAGATTGGGAATGGGCAAAGAAGACCGTAGACGGAGTACAGTCGAGGGGGCCAGAGACTACAAACCTCACTCATGGAAAAAGATCTTGGGGTGGGTATAACACCAGGCACATCTCCTGAAGCGCACATCAACCAAATAACTTCTGCAGCATGTGGGCGCCTGGCAAACCTCAGAACAGCATTCCGACATCTTAATAAGGAATCCTTCATGACCCTGTACACCATGTACGTTAAGCCCATATTGGAGTATGAGGCACCAGTTTGGAACCCAACCCTAGCCAAGCATGTAAAGAAACTAAGAAAGTGCAAAGGTTTGCAACAAGACTAGTCCCAGAGCTAAGAGGTATGTCCTACGAGGAGAGGTTAAGGGAAATCAACCTGACGACACTGGAGGACAGGAGAGATAGGGGGGACATGATAACGACTTACAAAATACTGAGAGGAATTGACAAGGTGGAGAAAGACAGGATATTCCAGAGACTGAACACAACAACACGGGGACACAGTTGGAAGCTGAAGACACAGATGAATCACAGGGATGTTAGGAAGTATTTCTTCAGCCACAGAGTAGTCAGGAAGTGGAATAGTTTGGGAAGCGATGTAGTGGAGGCTGGATCCATACATAGCTTTAAGCAGAGGTACGATAAAGCTCATGGTTCAGGGAGAGTGACCTAGTAGCGACCAGTGAAGAGGCATGGCCAGGAGCTTGGATTCGACCCCTGCAACCTCAACTAGGTGAGTACAACTAGGTGAGTACACACACACACACACACTCACACACACACACACACACACACACATACACGCACACACACGCACACACACACACACAAACACACACACACACACACACACACACACACACACACACACACACACACACACACACACACACACACACACACACACACACACACACACATACACACATACATATATATATATATATATATATATATTATATAATATATATATATATATATATATATATATATATATATATATATATAGTGTGTGTGTGTGTGTGTGTGTGTGTGTGTGTGTGTATGTGTGTGTGTATGGATGTATTGTTTTGTAACTGCTTGACAGATCTTGAGAGCGAAATATTGCCTCAATAAAATGTGACATTAGCTGCACATGTAATTCTTCCAACTCTATTACTCTTTGCGTTGTTGAATTACATAATACCAGAATCGTGAAGTTATAATAAACGTTGTATATTTTTGTGTGTATGTCATCAGGTGGTCAGTGAACATCATCTATGAGTTATCTTATTGCTACATTGGAATGATGGCAGTAGTTATAACTCTCATAGTCAGCAACGTTGTCTCCTTCTGCACAGGTAATATTAATTACTTTCAACCTTTGTACGCAATTTTATTTTCGCTATTTGTGTGTGTGTGTACTCACCTAATTGTACTCACCTCATTGTGGTTGCAGGGGTCGAGACTCAGCTCCTGGCACTGCCTCTTCACTGACCGCTACTGGGTCCTCCCTCTCCCTGCTCATGAGCTTCGTCATACCTCGTCTTAAAACTATGTATGGTTCCTGCCTCCACTACATCGCTTGCCAGACTATTCCACTTCCTAACAACTCTGTGACTGAAGAAATACTGCCTAACATCCTTTTGACTCACCTGAATCTTCAGCTTCCAATTTTGACCCCTTGTTTCTGTGTCCCACCTCTGGAACATCCTGTATCTGTCTATCTTGTCTATTCCATGCAGTATTTTGTATGTCGTTATCATGTCTCCCCTGACCCTCCAGTCCTCCAGTGTCGTCAGTCCTATTTCCCTTAACCTTTCTTCACATTCCCCTTAGCTCTGGAACTAGCCTTGTTACAAACCTATGCATTTTCACTAACTTCTTCACGTGTTTGACCAGGTGTGGGTTCAAACTTGGTGCTGCGTACTCCAGTATGGGACTGAAGTACACAATGTATAAATTCTTGAAAGATTCCTTACTGAGGTACCGGAACGCTAATCTCAGGTTTGCCAGGCGTCCATATGCCGCAGCAGTTATCTGGTTAATGTGTGCTTCTGGTGATGTACTCGGTATTATACTCACCCTTAGATCTTTCTCCTTGAGTGAGGTTTGCAGTCTTTGGCCCCTAGCCTATATTCTGTCTGCAGTCTTCTTTGCCCTTCTCTGATCTTCATGACTTTGCATTTGGCGGGGTTAAATTCTAGAAGCCACTTGCTGAACCACGCGTGCAGTCTGTCCTGGTCTCTTTGTAGATCTGTCTGGTCCGCATCTGATTTAATTCTCCTCATTAACTTCACATCATCTGCAAACAGGGACACCCTGAGTCTATCCCTTCCGTTATGTTAACATATACCAAGAATAACACTGGTCCCAGGATTAACCCCTGTGGGACCCCGCTCATCACAAGCGCCCACTGTGATACCTCACTCCGCACCATGACTCGCTGTTGTCTCCCTGTTAGGTATTCTCTGATCCATTGCAGTTCCTTTCCTGATATATGTGCCTGATCCTCTAGCTTCTGTGAGGAACTGTGTCGAAGGCCTTCTTGCAGTCCAAGAAAATGCAATCAACCCACCCCTCCCTCTCATTTCTTACTTCAGTTACCTTGTCATAAAAGTCTAGTAGGTTTGTGATACAGGATTTGCAATCCATGAACCCGTGATGGTTGTCGTTTATAACCTTGTTTCGCTCCAGGTGCTCCACCACTGCTCCTGATAATCTTCATGACTTTGCATACTATACACGTCAATGAAACTGGTCTATAGTTTAGTACTTCATTTCTGTCTCCTTAAAAGTGGTGTGTGTGTGTGTGTGTACTCATCTATTTGTGGTTGCAGGGGTCGAGTCTTAGCTCCTGGCCCCGCCTCTTCACCGGTTGCTACTGGGCCCTCTCTCTCCCCGCTCCATGAGCTTTATCAAACCTCGTCTTAAAACTGTGTATGGTTCCTGCCTCCACTACGTCATTTTCTAGGCTATTCCACTGCCTTACATCTCTATGACTGAATAAATACTTCCTAATATCTCTCTGACTCATTTGTGTCTGTGTGTATGTGTGTGTGTGTGTGTGTGTGTGTGTGTGTGTGTGTGTGTGTGTGTGTGTGTGTGTGTGTGTGTGTGTGTGTGTGTGCATGCACCTAATTGTTCTCACCTAATTGTGGTTGCAGGGGTCGAGACTCAGCTCCTGGCCCCGCATCTTCACTGATCGTTACCAGGTACTCTTCCTCTCTGCTTCCTGAGCTTTGTCATACCTCTTCTTAAAACTATGTATGGTTCCTGCCTCCACTACTTCACTTGCTAGGCTATTCCACTTCATAACGATCCTATGACTGAAGAAATACTTCCTAACGTCCTTGTGACTCGTCTGAGTCTTGAGCTTCCAATTGTGACCCATTGTTTCTGTGTCCCCTCTCTGGAACATCCTGTCTCTGTCCACCTTGTCTATTCCCTGCAGTATCTTGTATGTCGTTATCATGTCTCCCTTGACCCTTCTGTCCTCCAATGTCGTCAGTCCGATTTCCCTCAACCTTTCCTCGTACGACATTCCCCTGAGCTCTGGAACTAGCCTTGTTGCAAACCTTTGTACTTTCTCTATCTTCTTGATGTGCTTGACCAGGTGTGGGTTCCAAACTGGTGCTGCATACTCCAGTATGGACCTAACATGCAGAGTGAACAGTGTTTTGAACGATTCCTTATTAAGGTATCGGAACGCTATTCTCAGGTTTGCCATGCTCCCGTATGCTGCAGCAGTTATTTGGTTGATGTGTGCCTCCAGTGACGTGCTCGGTGTTATGGTCACCCCAAGATCTTTCTCCCTGAGTGAGGTCTGTAGTTTTTGTCCACCTAGCCTATACTCTGTCTGCGGTCTTCTTTGCCCCTCCCCAATCTTCATGACATTGCATTTGGCAGGGACGAATTCGAGAAGCCAGTTTCTGGACCACATGTCCAGCCTGTCCAGGTCTCTTTGCAGTCCTGCCTCATCCTCATCCGATTTAATTCTTCTCTTCAGCTTCACATCATCTGCGAATAGGGACACTTCAGAGTCTATTCCTTCCATCATGTCGTTTGCATATATCAAAAATAGCACTGGTCCTAGAACTGACCCCTGTGGGACCCCGCTCGTCACTGGCGCCCACTGTGATACCTCTTCACGTACCATGACTCGTTGTTGCCTCCCTGTCAGGTATTCCCTGATCCATTGCAGTGCCCTTCCTGTTATATGCGCTTGATCCTCCAGCTTCTGCACTAATCTCTTGTGAGGAACTGTGTCAAAGGCCTTCCTGCAGTCCAGGAAAATGCAATCAACCCACCCCTCTCTCTCGTGTCTTACTTCTGTTACCTTGTCATAAAACTCCAGAAGGTTTGTGACACAGGATTTGCCTTCCATGAACCCATGCTGGTTTTCATTTATAATCTTGTTCCGTTCCAGGTGTTCCACCACTCTCCTCCTGATAATCTTCTCCATGACTTTGCATACTATACATGTCAGAGACACAGGTCTGTAGTTTAGTGCCTCGTTTCTGTTTCCTTTCTTAAATATGGGGACTACATTTGATTTCTTCCATTTCTCAGGTAGTTGCCCAGTTTCAAGGGATGTGTTGAAGATTGTGGTTAGGGGCACACACAGCATCTCTGCTCCTTCTCTAAGGGCCCATGGGGAGATGTTGTCCGGTCCCATCGCCTTTGAGGTATCAAGGTCACTTAGCAGCTTCTGCACCTCCTCCTCGGTTGTTTGTATGTCATCCAACACTTGTTGGTATGTTCCCTCTTGATGTTCCCTTCTGTGCTGTCTTCCCAGAGCCCTTCCTGTCTCTACTGTAAAAACTTCCTTAAATCTCCTGTTTAGATCCTCACATACCTCCTGATCATTTTTTGTGAGTTCTTCACCTTCTGTCCTCAGTCTGATCACCTGGTCTTCCTCCTGATGTGGCTATACAACAGTTTCTGGTCAGTCTTGACTCTCGATGCTATGTTATTTTCATACTGCCGCTGGACCTCCCTCCTTACCTGTGCATACTCGTTCCTGGCTGTGCGACTAATCTCCCTATTTTCATGTGCTCTCTGCCTTCTGTACTTTTTCCATTCTCTATTGCACTTTGTTTTTGCCTCCTTACACCGTCGGGTAAACCAGGGGCGCTCGTTCTGGTCTTCCCATTGTTTCTGTTGAACTTGGGAATAAACCTTTTCACTGCCTCCTTGCATTTTGTTGTTACATATTCCATCATTTCATTTACTGGCTTTCCTGCCAGTTCTCTGTCACATGGAACCTCCTGCAGGAAGTCCCTCAAACCTATGTAGTCCCCTCTTTTATAGTCTGGCTTTTCCCATTCAACTCCTGTTACTCTCTCCACTTGCAATTCTACTATATATTCAAAGCACAGAACCACGTGGTCACTAGCTCCTAGGAGACTCTCATATGTGATGTTCACTCTGGTAATAACCTTAACATGTTGGTGCATGAGGTTTTCCAGCGCCACATCCAACATCTTGCCTCTCCATGTTTTGGAACCCCCATGTGGCTCCAGGTTTTCCCAGTCAATCTCCCTGTGGTTGAAATCACCCATAACCAGCAACTTTGCTCTGCTGGAGTGAGCTCTTCTTGCCACCTCAGCAAGTGTGTCCACCATTGCTCTGTTGCTCTCTTCATATTCCTCTCTTGGCCTCCTGCAGTTCTGTGGTGGATTATACATCACTGCTATGACCACCTTGTGCTCCTCAGATTGAAGTGTACCTACTATGTAGTCCCTTTCTCCTGTCTCTTCTATGCCTCCCATTTTCTCAAATTTCCATCGGTTTTTTACTAGCAGAGCAACCCCTCCTCCCCCTCTGCCCCTTCTATCTTTCCTCATGATCTGGTATCCTGTTGGGAAGATTGCATCTGTTATTGTCTCCATGAGTTTTGTTTCTGTAAGTGCTATGATGTCTGGGGACATCTCATTGATTCTTTCTTGCCATTTCTCCCTATTTATTCGTTAATCTATCCGCATTTGTGTACCAAACCTTCAACTTCTGTTCTAATATTGTAACTGTGTTCCTGGGGGAATACTGGGGTTGGGAGAGCAGGAGCTCTGGTGGGGGCCTGTGGGGGGTTGCAGTGGAGTTGGAGGAAGAGCTCTCATAGAGGGTTGCTGTAGGGGAAGGGTTCGTGGTGCGGGGGGTGGAAACAGAGGGATCGGTGTGTGATGGTTGGTTTAGATTGTTCAGTTGCCATTGGGGTGTCGTGGCTGGAGTCCTTCTGCAGGTGTTTCTGGGGGGTGTGCTTGCCCTTCCACCTGTGCCTGGGTTATTCTGCTCTTCTTTGTCATTTCCTCCCATTCCTTCTTTCGCTTTTGCACTCTCTTTCAGTATCTTCCTTTCCTCC